GAGAAAGAAATGTTTGAGTCTTCGTTTTCTTTTAGCATTATAGATATTACTAGCTACAAAAGAGAATTTTCTTTCTAAACGGATTAGTTTATTTCAGATGTAGATATTAGGCAGTTATGAATAGCTTGTTAACGTAAAAATAGGCAAGCCAGAACGGTAATTTCAAAATATAATAAACTTATTTTGCTTTTAAGAGCATTTAAACCTCTGTCTTTGAATACGCATCAAAACATTCAAGAGAGCATTATCTACTTGCAGCTTACTCTTCTTCCTTTGGATGATAACCATGTATTTCTTACTGAGTTTTAAAATATTTCTACTGGTTTAAATGCCTATCTGTTGGATATGGGCTATATTTTGTAAGAATATAGACAAGTAATTGTAATTTGTTTCTTTGGGGATACAATTGATGCTAAATATCTAAAAATGTTTCTTGAAAGCAGTGTAGAATAGATGTAGTTCTATTCCATAAACCTGCAATATTAACATAATGCCAAATATTTCAGTTTGGTCAAAGTGATGTTGGGTTGCATTAAAACTAGCATGAAGGATGCCTATGTTTTTTGCCAAAGGAAATATAGAAAATGCGACTGGAATCAGATGGACTATTTTCTGGTTATTACTTTTGTATAACTCCACTGGAGTGAACTAAATAACTCAAGTTTATTTCAGTTTTCCTAAGTCAGGTAGAACCCCCCCCCCCCCCCCATATACCACCACAATTATTGTTCTAATTCTAAAATGAATAAAACTTGTAATAGGTTTTTAGTGCTTCAGAAAACGTTTTCAAGGTTTGTCATTGTTGCTCTTGCAACTAAACAAGTGATTGGGATGTTTGAAAATGGGTCTGAGAAAAGGCAGGGATAGGTGACTTTTTTCACTAATGGTCACTTTATATATTTCAGTGTTTTCTTTGCTTTTTTACCTTTGAATCAACTGCTTAAAAGAATGAGTAAGATATTAATTAAAAAATGTGACATACTGTATGCAAGATTTGGTGGGTTTGATATTAATCAAGGCAGGCTTGTAGAGAAACATATTCGTCACACCATTGCTTGCATACAGTGAATTAAGGAAAGATGCTTCCTAAACTTGAATTCACTGGCTTTACTTGTTTTGATTCATAGTTATATTAGCTTAATGTGGTTACCTTTGAATCATAGGAATAACCTTAGAATTAGGAGACTTAACAAAGAAGAAAAACTTGCAGATTCCAAGTTGCTGTACATGTTTTTAGTGTCAAAGATGACAGTAAACAGATAATGATATGTCTCTTTATTTAGCCTTTAAACACAGATTAATAATCTATTATTCCTAGAGACTATAGGAAAGGTTTAACAGATTATTGAAGAAAGCCACAGGTGTTCAGATATAGTATCTGTATATAGTAGACTACATAAAAATTATTTTTTTTATAAATGATGAAATGCCATGAATCATTTTTCTTAGGCAAAGCTTGTTTTTGTCAGCCCAAAGAAGAAAAATATATTATTTGAATTTTAGTAATGTTAAATGCTTACCTTACTTTCTGCATAGCTGTTACATGTAAGTTTAGACTAGAATTAATGAAAACATGAATAATTGACTAGTATTCAAGGTTTAATGAAGTTAAGTTCAGAGCACATATTAAGCATAGGAAAGAAAATGTTTATGTTTATGGTGCAAATCAAAGCCAAAGTCTATCTCAAACATACATACCATGAAATTTCATTGTAGTCAAGATGCTGTTTGTCAGTGCAGAACCAGGCTGACTACTGAAATATAATTACCTTCGTGGAGGAATTTGGTTGCGGGGGGAAGTCTCTCCTAAGACAGTGCCTTAATACTTCAACAGTATTAAAGTAGGGTGGTTAAAAAAGGCTATTTATGAGCAGTTATTTCTAATGCACTTTCAACTGTAATTGAATAAAAAAATGACTGCACTAGGCTATTTTGCGGAATCTTTACCATTGTGCAACATTTAATTATCAAATTTTGCATTTCAATATTTTAGCACAAAACAAAAATCTCATTTTCCAAGTAATATACTTTTTATAATGTTAGAAAAATTGTTCTATTACTACAATAATAGCTTCAGAGGATAACCTTTCCCAAAAGTTAAGCATCTAGGGCAGCAGTAGCAATATTCGTTCATGTTCTACTTCAGTAGTCAGAAAGGTTTTTTGTTGCTTTCAACTTTTGCTAATTAAATTAAGATTTTTCTCATTAGATAATAACTGGTACCTTGTGGTCCAAAATGTGAAGTTTAGACCTTTAATCACTCCGTCATACAAAAATAAAGTATTCTAAAAACTTGTAGGCTATTTTTGGTGCAAGTAGATAATGCCTTACTTTTTATTGATGGTATAAGCCATTATTTTACCGAGAACCATTAGCTGTTTAAAACTTCGTGCATAAATTAAAGAGGAGCTAAATGGATTTGCAGTTGTTGTCATTAGTAGCATTTTAGATTATACAGGCAATTATTGTGTTCATTATCGTAGAGCAGCCCCTTTGCAAAACTATTGTGGTTGTCTTAGACATTATGTATAAATTTTCCCTTGGAGATTAAAATTTCCAGTGGTGTGTTTTAATTTTGTTAACACAGTTGTTTCAAATAGAACAAATATTATGACAAGTAGAAGAAAATTTGCTTTGCTAATATGGGAAATAGCAATAAATGTGGAAAATTACTCCAATCCTTAACTCATCTATTTCTTATATTGTCATAATTATTCTGGTTATGATTATTTTCAAAAGCAAAGAAATCGCTTTCTTAAGATGGTATGTTTTACAAATGCTTTGATAAAAATAACAATGTAGTTAAAATGAAGTTTACCCACTTTTCCAATATTCAGATGAATTTTAGAGAATGTTATTGAATTTCTACATGAAACGTATCTGGATAATTCAACAGTGTTTCATTAGTTTGAGTGCAGAAGTTGTTTAAGTGGAAAGGCACAGAATTAAACTAATTAAGTATATTTCAGTACATTATAGGAACTAATTTTTGAGAAATGGAGAATGCATTTCTATTAAAACTTCCTTTGTGTGCCTTCTTAAGTTGGGTTTTGCAATTGCCTTCACTTGCTATAGTACATGAAAATATTAAAATTTACTATGGCCAATCGTATGATCTATATTAAAAAGGATGACATTATTAGTAACAAATGGAGTGTTCTTGGGCAAGAGATTTATTCTGTGAAAGTTTTTCATCGTCAACTTTTTTTATTCTCTTAATATCTCTCCAAACACATTTTTGTTGGTTTCCAGACTTAAATTCATATCTGTCTTCATCAATTAGAAAGGTATTAATGGTTTGAATTAGCTACGTATCGGTGTGCAGTGGACTAAATTTAATGTTTGTGTCCAAAAAGTGGCATTCTTTCCAAAGAAGCTCTTTATTCATTTCTATTCTGGGGTGGGGTTTTTGCGGGGGACAGAGGGGGGGAAGCTGAGGGGAGAGATAGGCTTTCACTGCCATGATGCAGGGAAAAAAAGTGTGAGGTAGTGGTTATGCATATTGCAAGACAGTGATTCTTTATTTTATTACAAAAAAAAGACCAACTCTAGAAGGCCAGATTAAGTCATTCCTTTCACTTTTTAATGGGATTTGGATGAATAGAGTAAAATATGCACTTTGCATTCATTGATAGCATCTTTAGGTTGAGGTAATTGAGTCTTTTTTCCCTGACTGAATGAATAATGACTTCATCTGATCCTCAGCGAGGCCTGAAACTTAGGCTGCCTTTGTCAACGCAAAAAGATCTGGGCTTTGAAACATGCTCTACTTCCCTGGCTTAATTTTTCTTCATTTTAATCCAAAAACCTATTTTTCTCAATAATTCAAGCATAAACTATGTAGTAGTTGAAGCAGCGGAAATTGCAAGATATTTGTCCTCGTTGTGCTGCTTTTTAAATGCAGCTGATAAATCAGCCGCTGTGGTCTTCAGCTGCCTGGTTCTCTAGGGAAGGGACAGCCCATGTATAAGCAAGATTGCTGGAATTTTTAAGAACTATATTTAAAGTGGCTCTTTTTCAGACTGTTTGTTATCTAAGGAAGTGTTATGTTTTACTGGTCTTACTGGCAAGACTTGGAGATAAAAGGGGCATCTGTGACGGGGCCTAGGAAACTCTTCCTGACATAATTTTCCCACATATTTTACTGACTACAAGAGCATCCCAAAAAGTGGAGTATAAATACTTAGCTTACAGCATGCATTATTGAAATGGTGAGAGTCTTAGTTACATAGCTTAAAAATATTTTTTCATGAGAAACAGTGGATGAAAGATAGCCTCTCTCAATGTTTTTGCTAAAATGTCTCTAAATCAAGTACATTTTTTATTTGTGAAAAGTTGAAGCTCTGTTTTACTATCTTGGTTTGAAAATGGATATTCCACTTGATTGTTGTTTTTATTATACAGAATAACTGAAATCTTCATACAATTAGAAATTATTTCTATTAAATTAGTTCAGACTTACAGACCGGTATGGGAGTATAGTTACAAGTTACAGTACACTAGTTACATGAATGAGAAGGTAGCTCTGTTGCATTTGTCCGTTGATTCTTGAATCTAACAGGTTTTTGATCTTCGAGCAGTAAATGAGCAGGAGCTACCCTATATATATAGTACACAGTGCCAGTATTTTTGCTGCATACATGACAGAAGAAAATTGTTTCTGCTTATTTGTTCATCTTTAATTCTTTTCTACTTGCCTTCCTGTGTTCCTGTCCTGGTTGGGGGAGGGATGCATCAGACTTAAAGGCATTCAAAAGGTCTGGCTGGGACAGTTCACACTGGTTCTGGGAATTGTTATTGTCCTGTAACCAGGGAATATCCATTGCATGCAAGCATAGAAACAATAATCAATTCAGTTATCAAAATGCAGTTAATTGTTACAAGTGCATGGATTTTTAATAGGTAAGCATAAAAAAGCCAATAATAGCTAATTGTTTGCACCACAGAAGTGTCAATTTAAGAAAAAGTCATGGCTAATTGATTTATACTTCTTCCTCTAGGTTGGCTTGCTGGACCTGGAGTTGAATCAACTGACCAAAGCTCTGTTTTTGGCTTTAGTTGCACTATCAGTTGTTATGGTAACCTTGCAAGGATTTGTAGGCCCATGGTATCGCAACCTTTTCCGGTTCCTCCTCCTGTTTTCCTATATCATCCCGATCAGGTATGTATAAGAATGAAAGAAAAACACAGATGTCTAATTTCACTGAATGTGGCTTTCTTGAAATTTATACTTGCTTCTCATTGTGAAGGAAATTGATCTTATCAGGAAGCTGAAGGAGAAGGTGCCAACAAATCTGCTGATTCTTGAAGGATCACTGTACAGAAAACAATACTGTTGTATTTTTTTTTGTATAATGTTCATGTTGCTGGAGTAATCAGGATATCTAATCCTTTACTAGCATAAATGTATTAATAAGGGTACAATCTTGGTATATTTGAGCATGTGGTTTTAGGAAACGTATTTAAATGAACTGTTAGGTATATTTTTGAATTTTATTTTTAATGCCATAAATACTGAAAATGTTCCATTTCTCTGGTTAAAATACAGACTTTTTACTACAACAATCATTAATTTAAATTGAATGGCTGAAGAATGTAGGTGTGCTTTTACAACGAGAGGACTTTTAACATGTGTAACCAAGTAGAGGCTTGCCCTGAATTAATTAATTCATTAAGCATGAGTACTCTATATTCAAATTGCAGATAAACTGGAACAGGAAATAATATCCATGTCTGTAATCAAGTCTTCTGTGAACACAGAAGTGAGAACACTGACTCTGAAATGAATTTTTTTTTCCTTGAATGGGCATTGCCTTTGCAAAATGGAAATACTCTCTCCTGTTAAAATACCCAGTATTTAGATTAAGGTGATTGTTAATTTTAGATGCTCTCTGGAACTCTTCAGTTTGAGATGTGTCATTCACTAAGCCCAGTGGCTAGCCACACAGTTAGCAGCAACTAAACCATAGAGAGGTTTAAGACCTATCCCCTCAGATTTGGACACAATATTTAAATCCATCTAGTATAAGGAAAAAAAAAAAACAACAACAACCACGAAATAGTCTTTCATTGGGTATTTTAATCTAAGCTTATATCACTTATGTGTTACTGTGTTCACATTTTTTAAGTACATGTCTGTGTGAAGGGAACTATATCATATTTGACCAATTTGATACTCAGGAAGTATCTGTCTTAAGGTTTTATAACTTAAAGGACTTGTGTTTTTATACTACTTTTGTGTTGCAAGAGCAACTGATTCTGTTGGGAAGTTGAAGGAGAGGGTTCCAGCAAATCTGCTGGGTAGTTGAGGAGATCTCATTGTAGAAACTGGTTGTCTTAGAACAGTTTCCACTTCCTTTAACTGGCTCTTGTTTTTTATTTACACATTCGTGTTTCAACTTTGTAATATCTTTCTAAACACTGCCATTGTCATAAATCCCTTACTGCTTGTATGATGGTGCTGTTCAGGTTGTGTCGTCATTCCCCCCGTACACGCACAGTTATTAAGTATTAAGCAACTTACCCATGTGAAGAGGCAAACTGTGCTGCATTCAAGTGATAGGTAAAGTCTGCATATTGCTGAAAGATGCACTTAATCATCAAAGACATGTATGGGAAGGGAAAAATGAGCTAAGAGTATAAAGGATCACTTGTCGGTCACTGTGTTCTTTCATAATAAACATACTAAGCCAAAACTTATTAAAATGGTTAAAAGACAGATCTATCTTTGTTACTGGATGCAAGAGGATTAAGAGCATATAGGTGGCGTAAGCAAATTTGACTCTATATTGACAGTTCAACATATGCCACTGAAAAACATGTTGATTGAGCAACTCATTTTCAACTTAAGAGTTGTTTAGTGGACTTGTGATAGTTCTTTTCCAAAAATAATTTCTAATCCCATTTTTCAGTTCCTTGTGGGAACTGAATATGTATAGTAAACTGAATATAATATAGTAAAGCAGACATATTAGAAAATGGGATTGGTTTAGTTCTGAGATGGACCGTATAGTTACTCTATGGAAGATCAGACAGGAATCTATTGGAGAATACTTTTCTCTCTCTAGAGTTTTTTCTATTTCTATACCAACTTCAACTCAGATCATTTGTATACAGGGTCACTTCCCACACTGTCAGCAAAATAAACAACTCCAGTCGTGGCGGTGTTCAAATATAACTACACTTTGCTTTCTCTCTTCTGGATGTTAAACATGGAAATGACTTATTCTTTAGGCTGTATTTGGCGTGTAAACTCTTGGAGATAAAAATTACAAGACTAATGACACCGAAGCACCAGGTGTTGTGTCTTCTCATTGTTTTTAAAATAGCTATATAGGGGAAATAATGAACTTCTCACAGGTAAAGGAAATGAATGTGAGAGATTAGGATTGACCAGTAGAGGCAAAGCATATCTGAACTCATGCATGCACGAAATGTGTTGACTGATGGTTTTAGAGAATTCAGGAAGTTTCTAAATATGGAGCTTTTTTGCAGTTGTGTTAAGCTTTTGGTTTGCAGGGCAAGGGAAATTCCAGGTATGCAATAAAAATGATTTTCCATGGCCAGACATGTTTGGTCAAGATCATCAGGAGGAGGTAACTAACTGTTAGCAGAGTTTAACTGATCTCTGTGCAGGCTCTCCTATAATTAATAGGAAGAGGAATTTTTTTGCTCTAGGGACCAGCTAGTTCTTTGTGATTCAGCTGCATCCTAAAGACACCTCTAGATCATGTTGCTTTGCTGTGTGAAGGGTATTACTGTGGGGTAGGTAAGACTTCAGAAGTATAAACATAAAGCAACTGTTAAGAAAAAAGACCCAACACAACCAAACAAAAAATACCCCAACAACCAATATCCACCTACATGCCCCCATGCCCAAAAACCCCAGTCCACAACATTGCACACATTCTGCAGTGTACAAGGAATCAAGCAAAGTGGAGAAAAAGTGGTAGTAAATAAACATTGAAAGCTTAGCCCAGCTCTTAATTGGTTGTAAGTTAGAATAATTATGCATAAAATGTTTTGAACAGCTCCCCACCCTCAGAAACGTTGGGCACTTAAAAATGACTCTTCTGTAATTAACGTTTCTCTTTCCCCTATTGAGGAAGCGTAGACTAGGGAGCCTCCATAGGCAATCTGCCTCCCTACAAAGTTAATTTATTTGAATTTCTTAAAATGTATTGGGAAAGGATAGAAAGCAAGTCCTCGACAGACTGTCCAAAACTAAATAAATCTCTCTAGGATTATGCTCACCGGTTCTCTGAGTTTTTTCATGTTCCTAGGTATTCTTAGGCTTTTTTTCTAGTTGGCTCTAGCCAGTTGGAGATGCATTTAATGCCTATCCATAGGTTTCTCCAGTGTCACTGAGACCATTTTATTATTTGTTTTAAATAAAATCAATGATTTAAATACGTTCTCCACTAATTTACAAGATCTTGTCTGACTGTGTCACCTAGTGCAGTTATCGCATAGCAGGCTGGGGGGAGCATGTGTCCTCAGATACGTCCATGCTGCTGCTCTTTGATACCAGCGTGGAAGTTCTTAGGCCTGTGATATTTCCTTTTTTTTTTTTTTTTTTTTAAATAGTAAGGTCCTTTTGTTGAACAACTTGTATTTTTTTTTTTTTTTTTTTAAAAAAGAAGGGAATTTTTTTAAAAAATTTTTTTTTTTTTTTTTTTAAAAAAGAAGGGAATTTTTTTAAAAAATTTTTTTTTTTTTTTTTTTTAAATAGTAAGGTCCTTTTGTTGAACAACTTGTATTTTTTTTTTTTTTATGATTGTCTATTTTGTGAATGACAAAGGGCAGAGGGCAAAAACAGTCACACTAATGAAAACTCAACACCTCAGGTCGAGGAAGATGAGGTAAAGCTTTGTCATTGTTATGCTGTCTTTTACCTGCTTACCCAGTTTAACTCTAGCACTGTGGGTATAGATACATTCTTTGTAATTTTATGTCTTTTTAAAATCGGGCTTACATTTTTATCAGGAGAGTTTAATTTCCCTTTTGTGTGGAACTGAAGACATTTACTGTGCACATTTAAAATTATGACACAAATCATGTAAATCTTGGAGTTTTGCCTTCAATTTTTGCATGAACTAATTTGATCAGTTGGTTTAGTTTTAACTTTTTTGAAAGAGCTGTCAGAGAGACAGTTACCAATATTGGTATTTTTAAGTACAAGAGAATAGAAGAGACTTTAATCAATGGAATGCTCTCAACTACTGAGCTGAAAATCCCGGTGTGTATATGGGTGCAGGAAAGATAATCGGGCTGTTAGAGAGCCTTGAGAAAGCAATTCTGTCCTTTCCCCTGGCATTTAGTTGTAGCACTCCTTCATCAGCTCTCTTAAGCTGATGTAGTAATTGGTTTAGAAATGACAGCCAAGGCCAAAGAAGCGGCTAGCCTTAGTGATGGTACTGCACCACCAGACTGGATCCCCTCCACCACCAAGTAATGGGACTTTGTTTATTCATTGTCCGGTCTTCCTCAACACCTTGAAAGACAAAGTGAATTGCACTTTGACTTGAGTCCTTTTGTTTGTTTGTTGTTTTTCCCCCAAAAAATGTAGCCAGGAAAGTTTGGTTTTTTTTCAAGATAATTTAGGTTTAGCCAAGCAGTGTTTGGTGAAATTACTGCCTTGCATACACAGGCATGTGAATCCTGTAGCTGTACATGCTTCTGCTTAGCTGTTAAGGAATGTAGAGGATTTACCATAAAATGATAAGGTATTGACTGGGGATCTGGTAAAAATGTCTATCATCCACGCTCTATATTTAATAGCAGTTTAAACCTGGATTCACAGGGGCTTAATCAGCCATCTTTTTAGGAGGATCCTTTAGTTTTGGTGTACACAGAAGCTGAAATGTCTTTTGTCCTTTCCTAAAGACACCCCAAGGCTCCTGAGCACTGAGCCCGTCTGCCAAAATAAGCCATCCCAAATGTCTGGAAGGAACTGCCTTGCACTTGAGCAGTAAAGTTTTAGGGTGCTACCTGGCTCCTGGCTGCTTTTTTTTCTGGGTCTTTAAGAGGAGCGTTTAAAGAAAATCCTTCAAGTTATGTCGGTGTGTTTTCAGTGGGCAGTGAGGAAAACACTGCTAGGAAGTCTTGAATCTGAAATTCATGAATAGCCAATCAAATCTGGGATCATGCAGATATGAAAAA